GGTGAGGGGGTAGGGCGAGAGGAGGGAGGAGGGTAGGGGGAGAGAGGAAGACGGGAGGGAAAGGTTGGGGAAGACGTGAGGGGAAGGGGGGGGGGGCGAGAGGTGGTAGGCGGTAAGGGGGGGGGGGAGAGGAGGTAGGGGAGGAAGGACGGGAGGGGAAGGGGGTGGGCAGAGGAGGTAGGCGGTAGGGGAGAGGAGGACGGGAGGGAGGAGGGGAGAGAGGAAGACGGGAGGGAAAGGTGGGGAGGAGGGGAAGGGGGGGGAGAGGACGAGAGGAAAGTGGGGGGAGGGAGGGAGTGGAGGGCAGAGAGGGGTGGGTTAGGGGAGGTGGGGGGGGGGGAGACGGCAAATTGGCCAACTTTCTTCGTGGACAATGGACTTCTTTTTCTCTCTTTCTCTCTCTCTCTCTTTCTTCTGCAGGTATGTACGTGCATGTTTGTCTTTCTTCATTTATTCATCCATTCCTTCATTTATCAGATGTTTTATCTACCTTTGCGTGATATCTTTCCGTAAGAGAGAAAATGAAAATAAATAAGGGAGAAGGAGGATGGAAGAAGGAAAAGGAGGAAAAAATCAATTCAAAAGAAAAACAGAATAAAGAAGAAGAGGAAGAAGAAGATGGAGAAGGAGAAGAAGAAGAAGAAGGAGAAGAAGAAGAAGAAAAAAAAGAAGAAAAAGAAGAAGAAGAGGAAGAAGAAGAAGAAAGAGAAGAAAAGAAGAAGAAGAAATGAAAGACAGATCAAGGAAGGAAGGAGGAGGAGGAGAGGAGGAGAGAGTGAGGGAGGAAAATGGATTAGAAGATTGCAGAGAAAAGAAAATGGGAGGAGGAAAAGAGGATAATAAGGAGGAGGGAAAGATGGAGAGAAGAAGAAGGAGGAGGGAAAGAAGAGGAGGAGGAAAGAATCATTTCAAAGGAAATACAGAACTAAAATAATATTGATAATAATAATGATAATAAAAATAGAAGTAGTAATAATAATAATAATAATAATGATAATAATAATAATAACAATAATGATAATAATGATAATAATAATAATGATGATGATAATACTGATAATGATAATAATAATAATAATAATAATAATAACAATAATAATAGTAATAAAAATAATGATAATCATAACAATAATAATAATATTAATAATGAAGGACAGATAAAAAAAAAATATTTAATATTATAGACCGATTTATAAAAACGTGTAATTTGTTCAGTTAAAAAATAAAAAATTTATACATAAATAAAATTCAAAAGAAAATTGATATGACATTCTAAGTAATTTATTTTGTTAGAAGATGAAAAGAATAGAAAAATAATAGTTAAGAAAGACGGATGAACAGAGAAAAGAATCTTGTTTAGATAAAAAAAAAATAGATAAATAAATAAATAAATGGATAAATAAAACGGAGAGATAAATGAATTAATATATATTTCATGAAAAACAAAGATATAAAAAAGCAAAGGGTTAGAAAAAAGATATATATATCAGAACAGGATTTAGTTTAGTTTATTGTTATTTAATACCGAATAAAATCAACAAAAAATACGATCCCCCAGGTAACATAGGCCTTAAAAAAAAAACGAATATAAAAAAAAAACGACCCCCCAGGTGACATAGGCTTCAAAAAAAACGAATATAATCAACAAAAAATACGACCCCCACAGGTGACATAGGCCTTAAAAAAAAACGAATATAATCAACAAAAATACGAACCGCACAGGTGATCTTGGCCTTAAAAAAAAAAAAAAAAACGAATATAATCAACAAAGAATACGACCCCCACAGGTGACATAGGCCTTAGAAAAAAAATACCGAATGTAATCAACAAAAACACGAACCCCACAGGTGACATAGCCCTTAGAAAAAAAAAGATATATATATATAATCAACCCAAAATACGAATCCCACAGGTGACATTGACCTTAAAATAGAAAAAAAAAGAATATAATCAACAAAAAACACGAACCCCACAGGTGACATAGGCCTTAAAAAAAAAAAAAAAATAAAAAATAAAAAATAAAAAAAAAAAACACGAGAACATGAAATACCGCTCGAGACCTGAAGCTCTAAAGCTCTACCTACCTACTTGCTTCTCTCCAACTTTGCTTTTAAGCTTCCCTCTGGCGGCCGAGTCCCCTGAGGCTACAGTTTTATACCCAAAGTCGTGGACTGGAGCTGCCTTTTTTGTGAGTCTCTCCTCGCTCTTTCTCTTCCTGTCACTCTTTCTTTGTCTATCAGAAAGAGAGAGAGTGAGAAAAGAGAGAGGGAGGGAGGGAGGGAGAGAGAGAGAGAGAGAGAGAGAGAGAGAGAGAGAGAGAGAGAGAGAGAGAGAGAGAGAGAGAGAGAGAGAGGGAGAGAGAGAGGGAGGGAGGGAGGGAGGGAGGGAGGGAGGGAGGGAGAGAAAGAGAGAGAAAGAGAGAGAGAGAGAGAGGGAGGGAGAGAGAGAGAGAGAGAGAGAGAGAGAGAGAGAGAGAGAGAGAGAGAGAGAGAGAGAGAGAGAGAGAGAGAGAGAGAATAGGCAGATAGACAGATAGACAGTATAGAGAGACAGACAGAGTGAAAGGACAGAT